GCTATTTGTGGCGTGCGTGGACACGCGGCGAAACTCTTGACACGTTCCCTAAGTGCCACTTTTGTAGTACTGCAACTCTGACAGGATGACTGCATTGCCGATTTGAACTGACTGAGTGGACCGAGTTCACACAACTCAGAATTGATCGGGCTGGCGCAGCATGCAGCATGTGTTTATCGTGGGGCTTGTGTTGTGTATTTAGGTTTGTCCGTGTGTAGACTCAGGACCAATAATATTCACATGTCTCTATTGCGAGACGTTCCATAGCAACACACTCCTTCAATATGCATCTTCGTTTGTCTAAGCTCTTGTCTTCCGTCCGTCCTTAAAGCGTTCTTGTGTGTGGATTAGTGAACAAAAACCTCATGAATCTTGAAATTTTCCGTGAGTTCCCTCCCAAGGCTTGTAGGGAAATGGCTCTGAAAATGCTACACTCTAGCCTACACACAGACCATCGAGCAGGTGGACGAATGCTGACCGATCCTGACTGTGTGTGTGTGCAAAAGTCGGTTTGCAGTCGAACCCGGCAAAGACGGTGAACGGTTAGCTCCAGAACTGAGCAGGCGGAAACGAGCGACGTGGGGAGCATACAAGAACATCGAGGGAGTAGTGAAGAAGACGAAGAACATCCGGCTCCGTGCCCACCTCTTCGATTCCGCTGTCCTTCCTATCTTAACATACGCCTCACAGGATTGGTTTCTGCGCGATCCCTTGCGCGGTTAGCATTTTTAGTTAATAGTTAACTTCCTGTTTGTTTAACTTCTGTGCCACGCGAGTTTGATAATTGGAACCTTTCATTGACTGGCCTGACGTTTCGACCTTTTCGTCTTCTTCAGAGGCCTGAAGATAGCTCGAAGCTTTTTGATCTTGTAGCTACCCGACCAAGCACCTCCCCACTCTAGCGTTTCCGACGTCGTGTTGAGAAACACTCCGGACTACCCAATACGATTGAGAACTCTCCGAAGGTTTCACCAGTACTGTGCAGCATTGACTCACGCCCTATTAGTAATGTTAGTTTGGGTAAATGCACCTCACTGATGTCTCATGCTGTCATATCGGCCGAAGACTCACAAAGTATTTCATACTTCAGTGAGGTCCATTTGCCCATTTTAACATGACTAACAGGGCGTGGGCTAATGCTCCGCAGTACTGGTGGGACCTTTGGTGAGCATCTTAATGAGTGATTCGGAAGTGTTTCTCCTCACGATGTAGGAAACTCTAGAGGGAAGAGATACTTGGTTGGCTAGCTTACAAGGTCAAAAAGCTTCGAGCTATCTTCAGACCACTGAAGAAGATGAAAAGGTCGAAACGTCATGGCC